TGGGCACGCGAGAGCTGAGCAAAGGTGTGGAGGTGGGACGGGTGTGAAGGGTTAAGGGAAGGCAGTGAGGATTCTGCTGGGGGCCAGAAAAGTAGGCCGGACTCCCTGTCCTTTGTCAGAACACAGCCGGGGGCGACTGGGTAAACTGAGGTGGCAAGAGGCTTCCCAGAGCTAGTAGGTAAAAGTCTTGCGGGGGGGGGGGGGGGGGGGCGCCTGGGTGGCTCAGTCGGTTAAGCGTCTGCCTTCAGCTCAGGTCATGATCCCAGGGGCCTGGGAATGGAGTGGAGTCCCGCGTCGAGTCCCGCGTCGGGGTCCTTGCTCGGCAGGGAGCCTACTTCTCCCTCTCCCTCCTACTTGTGCTCTATCTCACTTTCTGTCTCTCTCTCAAATAAATAAATAATATCTTTTAAAAATAAGTTAAGTCTTGGTGGAAGGTTGAGTGGGAGCCAGCGGTGGCAGCCCTGAGTGCAGGCTGGGGGCACTGAGCCTTCCTTCACGGTCTTCTTCCTGATTTAGGGTTTCATTTTGGAGACCGTGATCATGATCGTGGCACATCCCCTGCTCTTTCCCTGGGCCCCTGGGTTCCCTCTCGGTCAGCTCCCCAAACTGCAGGGGAGCAACTTGATTCAGAGCCTGGGGGGGAGGGTAGGGGCTGGGAGGTAAGGAGTTTTTCACATGCATGCACGCGCGTTTGCGCGCGCACACACACACACACACGCACACACACTCCCTGGATGGCTTTGTCACACAGATGGATCTTGCTCTACCACCAGAGCTGATTTCCTTGGTGGGGGGAGTTAGCGGTGGGGTGGGGTGGGGTGGGTGGGTATCATTTTCTTCCCATGAAAGCTCAGAGGGTAGAACCAGCGAATGCAGGGTTGACTAGAAACGTGGAAGCTTTGGCAAGGACAGGCTGGAAACTGCCTGTCGCACATGTCAAATAATTCAAAAGCCTTTTTTTTTAATTGCAATGAACATTTGAGAGTAGGATGCAAAATGTGCCTGCGCTCGTGGGGTCAGGCGCTGGGCTTCAGAGGCATCTGCGGCCTGGCTGGTGGCCGGTGGCCGCTGTTCCCCCTGTCTGAGGTTGCGGCTTCACCCTCTCCTGGAGTTTCCCAAGGACCGCCTCGGCAGAATCAGAGGTGTCTGAGCAGGGGTGTAGCCTAGCGGGTACAGCTGAGTCAGTTCATTCACCAGAGGTTCCTTGAGTGCCTAGTGTGGGCTGGGCCGTGTTGTACACGTTGGGGTACAGCGGGGAGCAAGGCAGATGACAGATGCAAAGGGAAAGGCGTAGAGGGGGACAGCACAGGAGCAGGGCTATTTGAGGACAGATGAGCGTAGAGGGAAGGAGGGAGGGAGCCATGTGCAGATCAGTGAGAATGAAGTTCCAGCAGGTTGGGGTGACCGCCCGTGCAAAGGCCCTGAGGTGGGGACATGTCTAGGGTTTGAAGAGCAGCAAGAAGGCCCATGTGGCTGGGGCAGAATGAGCAGGGGGCAGAGGTGACAGGCAGATTGTATGGGCCACAGGGACAGGTCTCAGGGGCCAGCAGAAGGTTTAAGGAGTTCGACGTTGTAGTGGATCCAGCTGTCTTCTGCTTGGTAGCCTGAGCAAGAGATTTCACCTTTGTGGTCCTCAGTTTCCACATCTGAAAGATGGGAATGAGAAACGTGCTCCCCCCAGGTCATCACGGGAGTCCGTGAGCTGAGCGTCTGCATCTGGGCAGGGTTGTGGGGTCCTTTGTGGTGGTGGTAGTGATGTCAGTACCAGAGCTGAGCCTCAGAAGGGCACGTTCGGTGGTGGGGACTGGCGTGTGGCCGTCTTTGCCCCTGCAGATTGTCTTGCCGAAGGGGGACAGGAACCCCCACTCTCTGCTGCCTCCCACTACCCTTGGGGGGCTGGGACAGGTCAGATAGGAGGTGGGGACCCTCAGCCCCAGGAGGGGTTGGGGCAGGATGTGACTCCGCTCAGAACCCCAGGAAGCACGTTCTGCCATTATCCTCTTTAACGGAGGAGGAAACTGAGGCCCAGGGTGGCCGAGCCTTTGGCCCCCGGCTGCACGGTGAGCTGCCAAGGTGGCTTGGCTCCCAAGTACAGAAGGTGAGGTGGCCTAGGGCACAGCAGCCAGACTCCTAGGTTCCAAGCTCGCTGGGGAGCCCCCCCACCCGCTTCTCGCCCACCGCCGCGCTCGGGCACACAGCTTTGTCGCAGCAGCTCCTCCGCCTTCCCCTCTGGCCCCCCCATAAGGTCAGGAGCCTGGGGACTTGGGGGAGCTGGGAGCTGCCCCAGGGTGGAGCTGGAGCCTGCTCACTATAAACACGGTCAGTTCCTCTGTTTGTCCCTCCCTCCATGCGGTGCCCAGCGGGAAGGGGTGGCCCCGGGCAAATATCCGGAGGTGTGTCCCTCCATCCCCTTCCCCTGCAGGGTCACACGCATGCGGGGCAGGACATACGGGGCGCTGGCTGCAGTGTGCAGAGGCGGCTTGGGGTTTACAGGGGTGAGGGCTTTGGCGGTCCTGGCTGCCTCCTGCCCACCCCTTCTTGGTGCTGAGCTCCTCCCACCGCAGGGCCCGCCCCTCCCTCTCCTGGGTTTAGTGAGGGAGGGGTCACGTGGCTCATCCTGCTCCCCGGAGTGACTTGGTGCCTCGGGCTGTGGGCTGCTGGGTGGAGGATGGGTAGGGCCGAGTGAGAGAGGCCAAGGTGAGGGGTGAGGCTGGGCCTGGGGCCAGGTGGGGGCACCTCTGGGAACACAGCGAGGAGGTGGAGGTGAAGCTCTGGGGTGACAGTGGGGAGGATGGGGGAAGGTCCAGCTGTGGGGCCAAGGCGAGGACCGGTGCTAGAAAGGCAGCCGGCTGAGGGCAGAGAGGCTGGGGAACCCGAGCAGGGTGGGTGGGGGCCGGGGATGGAGGTCGAGGTGGGAGGGATGGGCAGCATTCAGCAGGCTGGAATGGGGGAAGACATTAAAGGGAGCAGAGAAGGGGCAGGGGTAAAGGGGCCTCCATCCTGGCCAAGGCTGTCACGCCCCACATCCGGGCAGCCAGGGGCCCCGGAGCAACAGGGAAACTGGACCGGCTCGGGGGCAGCCCTGGCCGGACGTGGCTCTGGCCAACTGCTGCCCAGGAGGCCCCGACCAGTTGAGACAGGTTGTCTGCTGGGTCCCCACCCCCTCCCAACTGGGCTCTGCTGCCAAACCGGTTCTCCTAGATGGCTGCCCACTGATGGTCCTGCCTCTGGGGTGGGGGTGGCTGCCTCTTCTCCTGACCTCACAGAGCCGCTCCCACTGGAAGGGAACAGGGCGCGGGAGGAGAGCCCAGGGCTGGAGGGCAGCATCCCAGACACGCTCGAGAGCGTCCTCAGTAGGTCACAAGACTTCACTATGCTTGGGGCCGACCCTGTGTTGGGCACCATGCCAGGCTCCGGGGAGCCAGCATGAAGCAGACAAAGATCCCAGCCCGGTGCCTTTCCCCTCATCCTCTGGGTCTCAGCTCCCACAGCCTGTCTTCTGGGAAGCCTCCCCTGACCGCCACCCCTACCATCCCTCAGACTGGGTCTGGTCCTCCCTGACCCCAGCCCCGACCACCCTGGGCTGTCGGCGATCTCGGTCACCACTGTGTCCCGAGCATCAGCCCGCACGGGGCTGGGCACAGAGGAGTGAGTTATTAGCGAGTGAACGCATGCGTGAATATTTTCTTCCCATTTTCCAGATGAGTCACTCGAGGCCCCAAGAGGAGACTTCACCTGCCCGAGGGCACTTCTAGCACAGCCAGCATCAAACCAGGTCTGTGGGACTCCGGGGCCCGGGTGTGGGACGGGGGCGTGGGACCTGGGCCCCCCCCCCCCAGACACTGCTGGGAGTACTCCTGATCATCAGAGTCACAGACGTGGACAAGGGCCCTCACTGCCTGCCCTGCTCTGCTCCTGTTAACTCAGTTAATCCTCAGAGCAGTCCTGTGCGGGCGAGAGTTTATGTCACTCGACCCCGGTCCCACAGTGTAAGTGGCGGAGAGAGATTTGTACTCTGGCCATTTGACTTCCCTTCCACTCACCGCCCTGGTCTCCCTGTGAGACCGCAGCGCAGCTCCCCTGTGGCCCCTTGGGTTTTAAAACTGGCTTTCATTGAGCATTTACACGGCGCCTGGTACCCTCCGGAGGATCCACCTGGAGACCACAGACCCTAGAGATGGGGCTTGTTTTGTCTGTTCGTATTTGCTACGCGGTGGAACTTTCCCCCCTCTGTGAGCTTGGTGAGGAACTCCGTTCTCGGAGCCTCAGTCACCACCTCTAAAGTGGGAGTGTTGCAGTGAGGCTCCCCGGGGCCGTGCATAGGACAGGGACTATGGAAGCAATTGTTGAACAATTGCTCGGTCACTGAGCACGGGCTACAGGCCAGGCACCGTGCTGGGGCTGGGGTAGGACACGGGCACACGGGGCAGATGAGACCTGGCCTTTGGTGCTGATAGTCCAGGGATGGGGGGGTAGGGGCTTGTAGTCACCCAACTGCTAAACACAAGAATGAACGGCAGAATTTCCAGAAGTTAAACGTGCCCTGAAGCTTTGTGACAGAAGGCTAGTGGTGCACCTCCTTCACTTGGGGTGGTCAGGAAAAGGATTCACCAACAACTCTGAGACCCGGAGGGAGGCATGTGTGGATGCTGGGGACGAGTGTTCCACGAGGAGGGAACAGCCAGTGCAAAGGCACTGAGGTTTGAAAACCAGTGTGAGTGAAGGGGACACGCGAGCGGAGAGGTGACAGGGGCGAGTTGTGGGGGAGGGGCCGCAGGGAGGACTCGGCTGAGGGTTCTGAGTAGGGGATGGTGTTCACGGGGTCCCTCGGGCTGGCCTGTGGGGGACAGGAGACCAAAGAGGAGACGAGGAGGGACAGGACCAGGGCAGGGCCCAAGGAACCGAGAGAAATGGGCGGGTTCTAGTGAGCGGCCCACTCCTGCAGGCCTGCTGATAGGAGCCCAAGTCTGCGCCCTCGTGGTGCTGAGAGCCTCAGCACCATGTTTGGGAAGAAGAAGAAGCGGGTCGAGATCTCCGCGCCCTCTAACTTCGAGCACCGCGTGCACACGGGCTTCGACCAGCACGAACAGAAGTTCACGGGGCTGCCCCGCCAGTGGCAGAGCCTGATCGAGGAGTCGGCTCGCCGGCCCAAGCCCCTCGTGGACCCCGCCTGCATCACCTCCATCCAGCCCGGGGCCCACAAGGTATGCCGGTGCCTACCACTGCCTCTCCAGCCGCACACCGACCCCACGCAGCGCCCCCAGCCCTTAGCCCCACGCTTGACCCTGGGGCCAACACCTCCTTGCTGGCTGCCAGACACCCCAACCCTCTACCCTAATCTTCGCCCCCAGTGCTGACCTCTCTCCCCTCCACCGCCCCCATCCCTCCCCGTACCTCTCAACGCTGACTCTGACCTTGACCCCTGCAGCAGCCTCCAAGTCGTCATCCTCTCCCTGGGCTCCGTGTCCCCGTCCCTAGTACCAAAAACTTGTACTTGAGCAAGGGGACAGACCCCCATGGTCAGGGCTGGGCTGGGGGCACCCAGAGGAGCTGCTGACCAGGCCCCCGGAGTCTGGGCCAGCTTTGTGGAGGAGGGGACACCTGAGCTGAGCCCCGAGGACTGAGGAGGAGGAGGAGTCCTTGTGGCAGATGGAGAGGAGGCGGGGTTTATAGCGGAGGAAACAGTCCATGGGAAGCCTTGGAGGCTTTTTGGTTGGAGGGTGGTTTTCCTGCCATCTCGAGCAAAAGGGTGGCTTTGGGATTTGACCCCCCAAATCCTTTGGGATTTGGTCTGTTTCGACGGCCCAGGCTCACCCGTCTGCACGGTCCCAGCGCCCAGGCGGGGCGCAGTGAGGGTGGCCCGGTGGCAGGGCGTCAGCCCGCCCAGCCTGGGAAGCCAGCCTCGGAGCCCGGACTTCACCCCAAGGGCAGCAGGAACCAGGAAGGGCCGGGGGCCAGGGGCACGCAGCCAGGGTTGTTCTGGGGCTGGCGATGGGTGTGCGGGTCAGCAGGCCCCACGCCTGGGGGCAGGCCTGCGGCTGACTCATCCTCCCCTGAGGCCACCCTCCAGGATCAGCGCGGTGGGCACCAATGCTCACCCGCTCACCGGGACGGCCTCCATCTGCGGCCTGCCCGAGGTGTCGGTGTGTCTCACGCAGGCCTTTTGAATACTTTGAACTCTGCCACCGCTCGAAACAGCAGAGACTTCACATCCAAAGCTGTATTTCTGGCTTCTGCTGACTAATCTGCAGGGACTGAGGGGGTGGCAGCCTCCGCAGGACGGGGCGCTGGCTCCTCTGGGCCCCCACCCAGCCCGCTTTGGTCCCATCCCCCGGCTGGCCCCAGGGCTGCTATGGCCTCACTAGGGGACCAGGGACCCCCGAAAATCTAGCCCCTGCTTGGCTTGCCAGCTGTAAGCCCTGCTTGGGGCTGTGTCTGCCAGGAGGGGGCACCTCGTCCTGATTCACACAAAGGTGCCACAGGGGCTAGCGCTGTCTTGGGGCCCCTATGGGGGGCCCCTATGTTTGCCACCCTTGGCCGGGACTCTCCCCTTAGCTGGGTCTTCCCAGGCCCTCCCCCAGACTTCTCGGCCTCTTATTCCAGCGCGAGGGTCTGAGCAGGTGGTTCCCTTGCTTCACTGGGCGCCTGGGCAAGGAGGCAGCCAGGCCCAAGAGAGGAAGGGGGCTGGGCGGGGAGACCAGGGCAGGCCCACAGGGGCACTGTGGCCTGGAGGTGGGTTTTGTGCAAAATAGAGGCAGTTCTGGCTTGAGGATGTGTGGCAGCCCTGGGCCCACGTCCCTGTAGGCCAGTGAGTGAGAGCAGAGGGATGGGGGTGCATATTCTGCTCCCTGCATCCTCCTCCCAGCCCGCCTCCCTCCCTCACCGGTTCAGCCAGTGTTTCTCGAGCACTCTCTGCATACATACCAGACACTGTTCTGGGTGCTGAGATGTAGCAAGAGCAGAAGAACAGGCAAATACAATAGCTGCCTTCATGAACATTGCACGGGGCGCGGGCGATGGTCAGCTTACACGTGCTTCACGGCAGCTGGTTTCCAGTGCTCCAGAGAAAGAGAAGGCAGAGAAGGGGACTAGGGAGTGTTAGGGGCTGGCATTTTAAACTCCGGGTGGTCAACGAGAGCTTCCCTCTGAGAAGCTGAGTTCGGGCAAAGGCCTGAAAGAGGAGAGGAGGGAAGGAGCTGTGGGCATACTTGGGGAAGATGTTCGAGGAAGGGCGAACAGCCAGTGCAAAGGTCCTGAGGTGGGCGTGTGCCTGGTATGTTGGAGGAGCATAGAGGAAGCCTGTGTAGGAGCCTGGAGCTGAGTAGGGGGCCAGGGAATCCCTGGGGGCCTTGACTCAGTACTCAAGGGAGGAGGTGGCTGTGACTTAGATCCGGGTGGTGGCAGGTAAAGCTTGGCTGGACTCAGGACACACGTTACATCTACCAGGCCCCGGGGGAATTCACATTTATCACTGCTGCTCCTGGACTTCGGGCCCAGTCCTTTCTAACTCTCCCCATACTTCACCCTCGGCTTCCAGGGAAACAGAGCTTGGGTTTGGGGTTAACTGCCCCGGTGGGGCGCAGGGAAAGAAGTCCGAGCCGTACCCTGGCCCCAGCATCCTGTCATTTGCAGCTCTCCAGGGCTGATTATGGGGTGGCGTGGGCTCTGTGCTCCTGCCCCTCCTGCCCACAGGGCAGAGAGCCGTGCCCAGCCTGGAGAATAGGAGAAAGACGGGGTGCTCCTCAGGGAGGGGCCAGCCAGCCCAGGGGCCACAGCCTGACCCGTGGGGGGTTACTCCTTCGGCTTTCTTCCTGCGCCAGACCTCTCGGGGGTGTGGGAGGGGCTGCAGGGGCCCCCCTGGTGCCGCCCCCACCTGCCCAGCCCCATCATCACCCCATGGCATTGCTTCATTCCGTCTCTGTCTTGTCTCTGTGTGTGTGTTGTGTTGTCCTGTCCTTGTGTGGCGGATACGGGTCCTGTGTCCTCCTCTTCCTTTCCCGGCCCCCATCCCGCCATTGCCCTGGACCCCAGACCATCGTGCGGGGCAGCAAAGGTGCCAAGGATGGGGCCCTCACGCTGCTGCTCGACGAGTTTGAGAACATGTCGGTGACACGCTCCAACTCCCTGCGGAGAGACAGCCCACCGCCACCGGCCCGTGCCCGCCAGGAAAACGGGATGCCCGCAGAGCCGGCCAGCTCGGCCAGAGGGGCCCCGGAGAAGGCGGGCAGCCAAGGCCGGGGCGCCGGTCACAGCGAGGCGGGTGGCAGAAGTGGTGACAGGCGGCGGGTGGGGCCAGAGAAGAGGCCCAAGTCTTCCAGGGAGGGCTCAGGGGGGCCCCAGGAGTCCTCCCGGGACAAACGCCCCCTCTCTGGGCCTGACGTCGGCACCCCCCAACCCGCCGGTCTGGCCGGTGGGGCCAAAGCGGCAGCTGGTCGGCCCTTTAACACGTACCCGAGGGCCGATACGGACCACCCGGCCCGGGGTGCCCAGGTAACCAATCCCCCTGCCCCAGGACCTTCCACCGCCCCTTTGTCCAAAACGTCCCCCAACCCTGTTCCCTGCCCACCAGCACCAGCCTGTGCCCAGCCCGCTGTCCATCTCCATCCTGACCACCATGTGTCTGTCCCATGGCCAGGGCCCCTGTCCCGCGCAGGGAGCAGAGCTGCCCCCCCCCACCACCACCACCCCTCCACTGACAGCTGCCTCTCTTTTCTGTTGCAGGGGGAGTCTCACAGCGTGGCCCCCAACGGGCCATCGGCAGGGGGCCTGGCGGTCCCCCAGTCCTCCTCCCGGCCTCCCGCCCGAGCCCGTGGACCCCCCAGCCCAGGAGTGCTGGGCCCCCATGCCTCTGAGCCCCAGCTGGCTCCTCCGGCCCGCCCCGTCACTGCCCCCGCCCCCGCCCCCGCTGGGCCCCCGGCCCCCGGGCCCCCTGGGCCCCGCTCGCCACAGCGGGAGCCGCAGCGAGTGTCACACGAGCAGTTCCGGGCTGCCTTGCAGCTGGTGGTGGACCCCGGCGACCCTCGTTCCTACCTGGACAACTTCATCAAGATCGGCGAGGGCTCCACGGGCATCGTGTGCATCGCCACAGTGCGCAGCTCAGGCAGGCTGGTGGCCGTCAAGAAGATGGACCTGCGCAAGCAGCAGAGGCGCGAACTGCTCTTCAACGAGGTGGGCCGCGGGCCCCTGCCGTACCCTGCTGTGCCCTCCTGTGCCCTCCCGTGCCCTCCCCCTGATGCCCTCCAGCAGCTGGTTTTGAGGCCTATGCCGGTCCAGGCCCTGTAGGGGTGAGGAGGGGAGAAGGCCATTCAGCGCTGGGGTCCCCAGGGCTGGGTTTGGGCCTGTCTTCTCTCCTTACTCCCCATACTTCCCTGGGCTGTCACCACCCCCCCGCCGCCCCGGTACCCACCACTGCCTCCCCAGAGCCCCAGCTTCAGGCCCCCTCAGCCCCGCCCTCACGTGACTTCTGGGCCCGTTACACTCACCGAACCCCAAACTGGCCCCCAGAGTCTCTCCCCCAGCCCTGCCCCTCCCCTGCTTCCCTGTCCCCTGCCCCAGCCCAGTAGCCGCTGTGCAGCCCCATCCTCTCCTGCTCGGCTCTGCCCTGGCTTCCCCTCTTGGGTACCCCCTGGGCATTCCCCACACAGCAGCTCAAGGGCTCTTTGGGACATGCAGGCCTGCCACGCTGCCCCCCACCCCCCGCCGCCGGCTTTACTGACCCTTGCAGTTCCCCTACCCCACCCCTTGGTGTCCCCAGGATAAAGGCCTGGCCTCTGCCCAGCATTTGAGGTCTGGCCCCCATCTAGGTTCTTGGTTGAGTCCAGCCTCTGGCTGGGGTTCTCGGCGGCGTCTGCCAGGGAGTTTGTTACAAAGGCAGACTCCTGGCTCCTTCCCCGGAGGAATGCATGCTGGGAGCGGCCCCAGACTCTGGTGCGGGAGTCCCGGGACGTCGGGCCTGGAGGTGGTCTAAACTCTGCCTCCTCCTCCCGGTCTCCCAGCTGTCCCCGTAACCCATCCCCCGGCCCCCCCAGTCTCACCGGGCTCCAGCTGCACCATGAGCCCTTCAGCGGAACCCCTGCAAGTGTCCTGTTCCCGGCTCCCGCAGGCTTTGCCCTGCCAGGCCTTCTTGCCCCCGAATCCATCCCCCCAGCCTGTTATTCTGCCCTTGGCTGGTACCTGCTTGTCCCGCGGCCTCAAGCCCGTGCTTAGACGTTCTCTTCCGCGCCCCTCTCCCCACACCAGCCCGGTCAGCAGGGCCACTCAGAGACCCGCTCAGGATGGGGAAGGTGGGGAGCACACCCCACACAATGAAGGCATCAGGCTTCACGCTGCCTTTGGGGTCTCCTGGCTTTGGCGCAGGGGAGGGCCGTCCAGGACGAGCCCAGTGAGCGGGAGTGACAGGTGGGCCGGGGCCTGCGGCACGGCAGGGCCCAAGCCCGGGCAGGAGGGGAGGCAGGAGGCTGGCTGGTGGCTGGGTTCGATGCAGGGGCTGGCGGCGCTGACCTAGCCCGGTGCCCAGGTGGTGATCATGCGGGACTACCAGCACGAGAACGTGGTGGAGATGTACAACAGCTACCTGGTCGGGGATGAGCTCTGGGTGGTCATGGAGTTCTTGGAGGGCGGCGCCCTCACTGACATCGTCACTCACACCAGGTACCGGCGGGGCCCCCGGCGGGCCCCCAGCCCACTGCCTCCCCAGGCTCTCCGGGGTCACCATGCGTCCCCTCAGACCTCTCCCACGGCGGGGTGGAGTCCCCTCAGACCCTTTGCGGTGGGGGCCGCGTCCCAGGGCCGGGAGGGCAGGGCCGCGTGTGGCCCGGTTGCCGACCCCCAGCCCGCGCAGGATGAACGAGGAGCAGATTGCTGCCGTGTGCCTGGCCGTGCTGCAGGCCCTGTCTGTGCTCCACGCGCAGGGGGTCATCCACCGCGACATCAAGAGCGACTCCATCCTGCTGACCCACGATGGCAGGGTGAGGAGCGGGCTGGCTGGGGCTCCCCCTGCCTCTCCCCAGCTCCCCTCTATCCCTGACCGCCCCCCCCCACTCGGCGGCTTGCTCCTCAGGCAACAGCCCAGAGTTAGGCCCAGTGAGTGGGGGGCTCTGAGCGTGCAGTCACAGAGGGGCCCTGGCTGGCAGGGGCTCTGTCTTCGGCACAGGACGCCTGGAGCTGTAGGCCAGCGCTGGGCCCAGGGAGGCCCAGAGGCAGCTGGGTGGCCGGCCTCGGCTCTTCCTCCACTGAAAAGCTGTGGCTAGCCGAGCACACGGCGGTGGGCCGTGGACCCCGCTCTTGTCTCCCATCTTCCAGACTGAGGCTCTGACTCTGAAGCCCATGGATGAGTCTCCCAGTGCCCAGAACATGTATTTATATTCCAAGAGTGGACGTGATTTTCAGTGGGAGGGGGTCCTTAATTGTCCCCGAAATCTCGTTGGTGATTCACCTGCCCTCCCCCAGGGAAGTTAAGCCATTCAGTAGAGAGAGGGGTCGGGGTGGGCTCTCTTTCGCTGGGAGTCTCAGTTGGAGTCCGTGAACACCTAAAGCTGTCCACAGATGTGTTTCGGGGACACCTGTGAGCCTGAAATTGTGTGCATGCCGTGTGCATATGTTTCCTGGGGGTGAGAACATCCGTACGTATCCTCAGGAATCGGAAAGGGGCCAGTGGCTCCCAAGCAGGTGGAAATGCACGATTCTGGGCACGTGGTTGTTGGTAGAGTAGGCCACACCTCTCGTACCCTCGGGGACGCAGGGGCCCAGGGCACAGGCTTTGGGAGCCAGCTGGGGTCTCACCCACCCCCACCCCCACCCCCAGCGCAGCGTTTGGAACCTGTAGGACTCAGGCCACCTCCCCCAGAGACCCCAGGGCAGATCTCTGGGAGGTGACGCACCTGAGGGCCCCCTGCTGGGAGGAGATGGAGCGACCCAGTGGTCTGGCTCTGACCTCTAGGCTGCAGCGTGGAGCCCCAGCACCTCCGAGGCCAGGGAGTTGAGTAGTTGGACACCTCTGCTCCCCCTCCCACCTGCAGCACCTCTGACCCCCACTGCCCGTGCCCCGCTGCAGGTGAAGCTGTCGGACTTCGGGTTCTGCGCCCAGGTGAGCAAGGAGGTACCACGGAGGAAGTCACTGGTTGGCACGCCCTACTGGATGGCCCCCGAGCTCATCTCTCGCCTCCCCTATGGGCCAGAGGTAAGCCAGCGGTGGCCTGGTTGTCCCACTTTCGGCGCCGGTTTACACTGTGACTGCTGGAACAGCGGGAGTGCTGGGAGGGGGGTGGGGCTCAGCATGGGAGATGGATCACTGGGGATGGTTCTGTAGGAGAGGGGGTAGGCACGCATGCAAGTGTCCATCCCTGATGAGCCCGGCTGGGTGATGTGACGAAACCCACCCAAATGGCTGCAGCGAAACACGAAAGCTCTGGGTCCCAAGAACTATGGTGTTAGGGGCGGGCGACAGGCTTCGGGCCCAGCCGTCCTTGTGCTCTGCCCCTCCTCAGCCCTGACTTTGTCCGTGTAGCTCTTCACCCAGGCAGGTGCTCCCCTCGTCGGGGCAGAGCTGGCTGGGCAACTCTGGGATGTCCCCTTGCCTATGAGTGCCACGGGTTTTCCTCCATATTTCCCTTAAAGTCTTCGGGTTGGCTCTGATCGGCTCAGCTCAGGTCACGTGCCTGCTCATGAACCAATTACTGTGTCCCAGCGATGCAGATTAGACAACTGGTCACCGAGCCCTCGATGCTCCCTAGAGCGAGGGAGAGAGGGTGCTACGTGGGCAGTACCCCTCAGAGGGCTCCCTGGGGGAGGAGCGTGTGGGTCTGGCAAGCTGGGTGTCAGAGGGGGTGTTTGGGGCCCGAGGACTCCAGGAGCAAGGAAGCAAAGGCAGAACCAGGGACCACCCCTCCGTGGCTTCCCCCAGCACTGGCCCGTCTGGGCACAGCTCAGCCCTCCTGGCCCTTCCCCACTGCAGGTGGACATCTGGTCTCTGGGGGTGATGGTGATTGAGATGGTGGACGGGGAGCCCCCCTACTTCAACGAGCCACCCCTCAAAGCCATGAAGATGATTCGGGACAACCTGCCACCCCGACTGAAAAACCTGCATAAGGTGGGCCCCAGCCGGCAGGAGGGTGATGTGAGGGAGGTGACACTTCCTCTGTGTTGGGCTCCCCGGCCCCCTCCCCCACGGGTCCCCTGAGCCCAGTGGTTGTGCTTAGGCCAGCTGGCTGAACACACACAGCAGAGCCAGGCCTGGGAGAGGAGCCTTCCTGGTAGATGAATCACCCGGTGAGAGAGGGGTGCCTCCAGGGCCCAGCCCCTGTTGCCTCCTTGCACAGCTTTAAAACGGAGAAGAAATGAGCCCTTGGGGTCTTTGGATGTGTTTCTACCCTTGGGGCCAAACTCTAGACACCTGGGCCCTCCTGGCCCCCTCCCTGGGCAGTGAATGCTGTCAGCCCATTTAACGGAGGAGGAAGCTGAGGCCCAATGGCCGGTCAGCATTGGAGTTGGCACTCAGACCTCCCTGTCTCTCTCCCCCACCTCCTGACAGGTGTCACCCTCCCTGAAGGGCTTCCTGGACCGCCTGCTGGTGCGTGACCCGGCCCAGCGGGCCACGGCGGCTGAGCTGCTGAAGCACCCGTTCCTGGCCAAAGCGGGCCCGCCCGCCAGCATCGTGCCCCTCATGCGCCAGAATCGCACCAGATGAGGCCCAGTGCCCTGTCCCTGAACCAAAGAGCCCCTTGGGTCACCCCTGCGCGCCACAGGCCAGTCGGGGGCCGGCCCCCACTCCTCCCTGCCTGGGAGACACTCCCTGTGGCACCACCCTCCTTGCGGGGGGTTGGGGAGCGTGCAGGACCCTACTACTGAACTCCAGGTTTGATTTTGTGACTTGTAAAAAAAAAAACAGGGACTTGTGGGAGCAAGTGAGGGTCCCCGGCCTCCCCATCCTCCGGGACAGTCCCTTCCTGTGTCTTCCTGTCTTCCAGGAAGGACAGGCGGCCCCCCCATCACTGGAAATCATCTGCAGTGGGGGCTGTTGTGGGTGGAGAGAACACTACGAAAGGCGTGTGTGTGTGCACACGTGTGCATGTGTGCGTGAGTGTGCACGCACGCCCGTGCAGAAGGTCCAGCTGCTCTTTCCTCCAGCCTGCGAGAAGGTGTCTCTGAGGCCTTGCCTGACATACAGCGCAGCCCCCCGGCCCCCCTGAGCCATTGCGGGGGTCGATCATGAATGTCTGAAGAGTGGCCTTTTCCCCAAGTCCTGCATTCCCTTTCTGTGGCTGGCTGGGGAGATGGGGGTCGGGGCTTCCCGACCATCCCCAGCCTCTGCAGATGACTACTGCACCTGGACAGCCTCCTCTTTTCTAGAAGTCTATTTATATTGTCATTTTATAACACTCTAGCCCCTGTCCTGACCTGGGGACAGATGGGTCTCTGCCCCGCGGGGCGGCACCAGAGACAGAACCACTGCTCCAAGAATCAGGTTCCCGGCCCCTTGGTGCGGCCCCACCCCCCCCTTCCCTCAAGTTAGTTTTGCAATTAAAACGTTTTCTTG